CATTATTTTTCTGAACAAAGCAGCACTTATAGTATAGATGCATTCTGCAAGGGGTTGGGTAGGCACAGTGATGGTGGGGAAGGATTTCCTGTGTTTGGCAAAGAAGCTGTGTTTATGAAAGAGGAGGACCTTCCTTGGGTTAAACACCCACAGCTGATGCTTTATTAATTAGGCCCTATGACTTCTCAAAAGTGTGTATCTGTGTTCAATAATGACATTGAACCTTCTTAATGCTATTTAAAACAGAGTGTTGTCCCACATTTACTCATGATAACCTGTTCTCTTATCTGTTAAAATAAGTCTCGTATTTCATTTCCTGAATATATTGAGGAGCCTGGTGGTACTGGAGGCATTGCTATCAGAAGAGGGTGTTGAAATGGAAAGAAGACTGCAAATTAGATGTAGGAAAATTTTTTGTTCTTCTAAATTACCTCAATGCATATTTGATTGCCTTGTACACCATAGGTCTGCAGCCAGTTCATTTTAAATGTTTGAGTGCTCACACTTTGCCTTATGCTGTGCACTGGAGTCTCAAGAGTGAACAAAACAGAACTAATCCCAACTAGATGATAGGCTGGTGGAGAAAAAAGCCCTAAACCAAATCTTACAAATCATGATTACAAATTGTGATATACTTCAAAAAAAAAAGGCTATGCAGTTTGAGGTAAGAAAGAGACCTCATATATGCAGACCTTATATACTTGGGGAGAGTAGTGATCTGATGAAGTCCTGTAGAGGAAATTCCATATAGATCTAGAATGAAAGATAAGAAAGGCTCATCCCAGTTAATAACAAAAAGTAGAGCGGTCCAAGAAAGGGAACAGCATGTATGTTGGGCTGCAGGCAGAGATGAAAAGATAGGGGGGCAGAAAGACCTCTGAAGAGGCTGGTGCATAGAGGGTGTGGAGCAGAATATCATGTGGAAAGGTTGGAGAGGTGAAGGAGCTGGACCAGGCAAGGCCTTCATCTCTTCTCTAGATGGATGCTCTGTTCTATGCTCTCCATCCTTAATCTAATAGCTTGTTGCTGATCCTTTGTTTAGCTATTAGGCCAATTGTAGGGTTACCCCTATATTCTTATCAGGACCAAAACAGTTCTTTCAAACCCTCAGTTCCACATTATTTAATCTTTTCCTTTAGGGCTTATCTTTTATCTTGGCATCCAAACATTTTGGGTTCATGAAGAAAACAGTTCCTGTGGCTTAGATATCTCAAATTATATCTTAATATGTAATTTTATTTCCATGAAGAATTCAGCAAAAGCTAAATGTTAAGAGTGCTTCAGCATAGTTATAGAAAATAATATATAATCCATAAGAAATCTGCCAAGTGGAAGCCAATCAGAAGTAAAGCAAAGAACGGTTACTGCTTTCCATAAAACACATATTTTGTTTTGTTTTTTGTTTTTGTCTCTTATAGGCAAATCTAGGACCTGCACTTTGAAATTCACAGAAGCATCTGTCCTTCTCTTTATAGTATATATTTACTTCACTGATTTTCACACTTCCTGCCGAGAAAAATACAAAAAGAGTCATGCCTCTTTGACCTTTGTGTCCCACAACCACTTGGCACAGTGCTTCTTAGTAGGTGTCTAATAATCCCTACACTGAAAACCCCTTCTAGCACAATGCATTCTTAGGATGGAGAGATTTCTACTGAACAAATTATAGCTCCAGAAGTTAAGTCATGAATCAGTTCTGTGCTCTGCATATTGCCAAGAGAGGAAGATAGATTAAATGGGGATATGAGAGACTGGCGTTGGTTGTGAAAGACCATATTAACATTCTAAATGTATATTTGCCATAATGTGGCTATAAATACAAATTATGCAGTCAGTCTTATAAAAAACAGAAAAAAAATAAAAGGAATACAATCATAAAACCTCTGTACATCAAGGACTTACCAGATGTCAGGAAATGTGTTAAGAATTACCTCCACAGGCTGGGGATATAGCTCAGTTGGTAGAGTACTTACCTCACATGTACAAGCCCCTGGGTTGAATCCCCAGTACCACACACACACACACACACACACACAAATTACCTCCAAGTTTCACAATAGCTTTTTCAGGTAACTATTATTATTCCTCTCTTACAAATTAAAGGAATAAGGGTTAGCTGGACAACATTTGCCCAGGATCACACAATTAATAATCAATGAACAAAATTTTAATCCAAGTCTGTTTATTTCAATCTCCAAGCAACTATGACTCTGCCAAATGCATTCAATTTTTGAAATCAGCCTAAATCAGAGGCATCAGGGATGATCAAAAAGAGAGAGAGAAATAATACACATCTGGTACATTTAAGACTGAAATAAGCGACTTGATCCATAAATCATCAGCGTAACAGCACCATTAGCAGGGCTCTTCAGGAACAGCAGGAAGCAGTATATTTGCTGCCTTGGAATCAGCATTGTACTTTTTTCAGAAATTTAATCAAGTGGCCTGAAATGTTACAAGTGTCCTTTCCAAAATACTGTCTGTCCTGTTTGTTCTGTCAGTTCTGTTCTCTTTCAATCTTTGACCAAAAGTCAAAGTGAATTAATATATAATAACTAATATTAATATACCTATTTTTCCATGTTTGGAAGACAAGTTAGAATGGAGACAGCTCAAAGGAATGGTGCCGAATCTTGTTAGAAAACCCAAAGCATACAAACTTTTCACCTTGTTTCCTTTAATTTAAAACTTTATTAAGTATCCATTATGGGCAAGGCATTATATATATTGAAAATATATTGATGAACCAGAAGACTCGGTTTTCCTATAAATGCTCCTACACCAACCCAGACGTTGAGGCTTAGCTCACTATGCTCCTATCTGGCCTGCACTAAGGGAACCACTACAGATTATTCTGAACCAATCAGCAGTGAGACCACAGAAGAACTGTCATCTGTATTGCTCACCCACTGTGACTTAGTCAAGTCCCATTAGTTGGCCTTGGAAAATGATAAAACATTCTGGTACTCTATGTTTGCATTTTTATGTTTGCCCTTTGGTGATTAAAAAAATCCGAACTCTGAATTTATTATTTTCATCAAGGAATTGGATGTGAGCAGTGACCTTCATGTACAGCAAGAAGTCACTGACCCACTGTCAGTAAACCATGCTTTGTGAACTGGTTTTTTTTTTTTTCCAGAAATGGAAATGCATTTGCACAAATTGCTTCCCATTCTCTTAGAGTCTCTTGTTAGCAGCAGCACGCATTTTGTATGAAAGGTGGCAGGGGTTAAGATGCAGGCCAAGGTCCTGGGCTTTAGTGCAGCTAACTGGCATGCACAGGGATGAGACCTGCAACATTTGCCTCATTAGTACCAAATCCCCTGCTGAGTTAACCAGCCATAGGCGATTGGAGAACTCTGAAGGTTAATTCTTTCTGCCCATAGGTAGAGTTGCAGCTCAATGGACTAAGGCCTTAAAATGTTAACACTTCAAGAGAGAAATTTTAAGTGGAAAAAAAAATGACTGGCTGTACAAAAAGGTTAAATGAGTTGAAAACTGGTCTAAAACAGACTTGCCTTTTTTTAAATAGTTGCATAAAATATTCTGGAACATTTATAGAGGTTATGACTCCAAACATGTTTCCACCATGTGATTGCCAGGAACTATTAAAATAAATAGCTCAAATAGGGCAATTAAATATAGATACTAACAGTTTCAAATCACAAAACTAGAGGTGAAGCAGCTTTGTTTTTCATCTAAAAACACCCAGGTGAATTTATTCAGAATTAAAGTAAATGCTTGTTTTGAAAAGCTAGATAGGGAGGAAGACAGATGAGACTAACAAATTATTGTTATTTCTGCCCTCAAGGGAGTCCTGTCATAAGCTAAAGTGTCAGCATGAGGCAATGCTTCTGCTAAATTACCTGCAAACCAGTTACAAAAGATGGATCCTGAGGTCACAACCAAGTAACCACCATCTATGTGGTTTAAGACAAATATGTTAGCTTGACACTAGGTGTTCTATGACCCTAAATCACGGCTTTCCTTCAACAGGAACCTGGTTTCCTTGTTCTGACTCTTGTGTCTTGATGGCACAGTATAATGTCAGGGGACATCAAAAAAAGTTTCTCTCCGGTAAAAACAACAGCTATAAAAAATAGCCCCTCACAAGTGAAATGAGCAATAACAGAGCTGAATGGAACACTGACAATGTGCCCATAGCAAATGGAAAAACGAGCACTCAAATATGCTTGTCCTCATGGAAAGAGAGAGTGAAAATTGGGTAATTCTAAAGGAAGATAAAACCAATAAGATTTTCCACAATTTCTTAGGGACAAGGATAATGGCAAGGATTTGGAACTTTAATGGGAATATGTTATTTGTCTACTTATTCCTCCATGTTAGCTTTCTGATGACAGGAATAAAGAGCAATAATTCAAAATTAGCTAAGATTTACCAAGCATTTATTTGCCAGGAGCCAGGAACTTCAAAGGTTTCAATAGTGTTTTCAATAGGTAATTGAAACAGTATAAAAGCTAGTAATCCAACCCTGGGAGCCTCTTGCCTCAGGTTTGCTCATAGTCCATAATCTCACCATAATTGCCCCACCTGGATGCTGAGGCTTGAACTCAAGCAAGCACTCAATCACTGATCTGCATTCCCCACCCACCATAACAGAATAATTTGTAACAGCACAAATATAGGCAATTTTCCTTATAGAAAGAATCAATCTCATTTGTATAGAATAATTATACAATGACATTATATAATGGAATTGAGAGACTGTAATGAAACAAAGAATTTCAAGCAAGTGTCTTAATTTTTAATTGCTTCTGGGGTGCAAGTATGAAGTTACATAGACATTTTGTGTGAAAGGTGTCACAGGTTAAGATGCAGGCCATAATCTTAGGATTTTGGTGCTAAATAGATGGATTATGATTCTACCCATTATGCAAATTGTTTATATCATCACAACAGAAAATCCCAAATGGGTGTTGTTGAAAAATATATTTATTCTCTCATGTAATATTAAAACTTTTATCTAATTTAATTTACAGAACTTCTTTCAAATAGTTAGCAACCTTCTAGATGAAGAAAACAAGGAAAAATGGGAAGATGCACAGCAGGTAAGGTTGGGGTTATTTTAGAACTTCAAATAAAGTTGTCTACATATATGTAAAACACACTTGAAGAAATTAACAGTTTGCTTCTTCAAAACATAAAAAGATAATTTTAAAAGTCATTCTAGACTGCAAAATAATTTTAGAGATATCAAATGATCTTTTCTAATATCAGTCCACTGGAGGAATAATGTTTACATATGCAAAAATGGAGTGGGTTCAGGTGATTTGTAACTTGAAGGTTACATAAATTTGTATTACTCATACAAAATAGGTTTACTTCCTATATACAGACAAAGCAGGAAATGCAAATCGAAAAAGCATATATCTCAAATGAAATTATAGGGTATTTATTGACAAGATAATTTTCATTTATTTCAATTTTATATAAAATCTGAATCAAATAAACCGATATATATATACTTTTAGTTCAAAACCAAGAATTGATACAGTAAAAAAAAATGTATTCTGATTTTTTTATTATGCTTTTACCAGTGTAGCAAATAACCTTATTAGTTTAGCTACTGATCCATAATGCCTTACATTGTCATTTGTGCTGTGATGACATATGGTTAGTAAGATTTTTTTTTCTAAATTATAGAAAAAGAGGATTTGGGGTCAAGAAATGGATTATAATCTTGTTTAAAAATACTGTGGAAATTTAATTTAACCAAATGTTAAACTTATTTGAATTTTCAACTTGACCCTTTATAAATATCCTATGAAAAAGGCAATCTTGAAAAAGAGAATGAATATTTACTGAGGTTCAAATGAACCATCTACACGTTTTCCTAGACGTATTCTAGGCCTTCAGGACTAAATCATGCCCTTTATTCACACTGTGGTAGGAGCTCTAAAAATAGTCCAGTGTGGTCCATCTCATTAGCAGTACAAATTCTGTGCTTCTGGTCATGGCAAAGAAAAAAAAAAATCCCTCCTCAGTTTAAGACTTTGATCTATCTTTCTCCACTAGTTTGAATTATGTACTTGTCCTTGGCCTTCATCTGGAGGACACCCTGGTTCACTCACTGTAAGGAAGTGGTATCTTTCCCTGGAATGCAGCTGCAGAGAAGCACATCTTTGCAGAATGCCAGGGACTATTAATTATGGATATATTTAGAACAAATATGCAATACCCTATTTAAAATAAGGCTGTGGTTCATCACATGGTGTTATTTACTGTGAGATAGCAACTTGAACACATGGAATTATGGCAGAACTCATCAATGGAAAATCATGAATTCATAAGTCATCTATTTACCTGTGATTAATGGTTATTCTAATTTTTTACATTTTTTTCCAGTGGTAATGATCCTTAATGCTGCTTTAAAAAAAATGACTACTTGAAATTCAAACAAACAAAAAAACAATTTTGTAGCTTTTAATAAAAGGTGGTGTCATAATTACAGCCATATGGTAAATGGGTCTCTAAATTTGTGTCATAAAATGTGGACCTCTTAGAAATAAGGGTTGTTTAAATTTTGCCAGAAAAAATCCTCATGACCCCCTTATTTTAGCAGAATAAAGTCAGAAAAAGTGAAATATTAAATAGAGCTCTCTGCACATTTGGAAAACTAGCTGAGTAAAATGGTGAATATTGATGTCAGAAGGTTTGTGCAAACAAAATTTATATTTTCGAACAATAAACATAGCCATTTCAGAGCTTTTTTTATTACCCATCAGCTTCAGTTATGGAAGATCAAACTATGTTTAGATAAAAACAGCTTACTATAGTGGGGAAAAAAAGTCTGAACTTTATATAGCAATATTTTAGACATCACAACGATGGTTGGAGTTGACAAGTCCATTTTCGTCAAGACCAGTCATTTCAGTCATGTACTCTGTTCTGCATTTCACTGTTAACCTAAAAAATTCATGTGTCTCTAGCACAGGAATGGACAAACTACAGTCAGTAAGGGCAATCCAGCCTGAGACCTACTTTGTAAATAATGTTTTGGAAAACAGCCACCCCTGTTCATTTACATATTATTTAGGGTTGCTTTGGTGCAAGAAAGACAGAGCTTCCTTGTTCAAACAGAGAACCCCATGACTTGAGAAGCCTAAAATATTGATAGTTAGTTCCTCTTTAGAAAAAAAAAAATTGCCAACCTCTTCTCTACAATACTTGACTTCTATTGAGGAAATACAATTAAAAGCAACCTGAAAAACCTTTCCACAAAGATGGAAGAGAAAGAGAAGAGTTTTATTACTGCATAAGCATTAAACTGGAGTGTGATGTGTATATCATAGACAATCAGCTAGGACAAAAAGGAACCTCATCCTTCAAGATAAACAATGACTAGTGCTGGAGCCAAGAGGCCTTAGCAGTGCAATTGTCACATATGACTTTTTCATAAAGGCCCTTAGTAATTGGGGGTAACTTTGTCATTAGCTAATTATCTTGATCTGTAGCAAAATAAGTTCCTTAAATCTTTATGACAGGAGGCAATTTTGCAGTTTAAGTCAGGCTCAGATAGCCATTGAAGTTTGGTCCCTACCTTTCTCTCAAGCAGATGTGTACTCTTTCCTTGATGTTTACATTTCAAAGAGAGACATCTCTGGATCTTTAAGCTGGTGGGTACTTTTTTAGCTTTTAGAAAGGATTTACATACATTTCAAAGAGAAAGAGAAAGAGATTTACAGTTAGCTTTCTAAAGTGAATGCTCTTAAAAAAAGAAAGAGTCAAGAACAGGTGGTCTATTCCCAATCAGGAAATCATACCTATTGTCATTAGTTTGTATTTGTCTGTCCATGACACATGTTCATACACACATACACCTACAAAAGAACAGGGGAAAAAGAGTAGTACCAGGAAGTGTTAAAGACAACAAAAGTTTTATGCACTTTCTTGAAGTGGGAATGATGAATGTTCAGAATTCAGATTTAATTATTGAAAATGTAGCTAAGAAATAGGACTTATTCCCCAAATATTCTTGAAGTTTAAAAAATTCCAACTCTCTTTCCCATATATTTTAAAATGTAATATCTATTGTTTATGTCTTAAAGTGCATGTTAGTTAATATCCTGTGGATACATGGAGCTTGGGTTTTAGATGGGCCCAGCCATAGCTCCTACAAAACTCACTCTCTGCCTGCAGCCTGCTCTTCTCAACCTGTCTTCCTCCTACTCAAGTCCCTTCCTGCTCTTACTGTATGCCTACCTGCAAACCCAAGCCTTTCTCTCTCTTCTGCACCAGACTTTGCAATGCAAAGCAGGGAGAACTCTGTAATCCACTTAATTTTTCATGGCTAGAAGCTGCAGTGGTACTCAATAGCTACAAGAAATGAACCTAACTTCAAAAGACATTCTGCTCTAATGTGGTTATATAATGCAGGCTCACTTTATAGGCTTTATGGGTTATGCATGCTAAAATGCATGTGACCTTTCAAACGGCCTTTGCATTTCACACCGTTTTGGAATATACCAGCATAAGATTGTTTTTAAGAAAACACATATCTATTTGTACTGGGTGAGATGCCATGATGTTAGAAAATACACTTGGGGAAAAGGAGGCAGATAGCTCTGTTAGTACATAGGCATCTAGGTAGGAAGGTAGGTAGCTAGGCAGATAGATAAAATAGATATAGATGCAGATAGAATAGGTAGATAACCACAGCCTCAGTCACTAGCAACAATACAATGTGTCTTTAGATAGTTCGAATGCCTTGAGCTTCTGTTGTTTGTTGCCTGAAATAAATATAATAACCTCATAGTTTTTTTGTGTGTATATACATGTAAATCATCTACCCTAGAGCTATTATTATAATCCTAAAATTATTGCTAATAACACTCATATAATGACAATTATAATTATTAAAAATAAATGTTTCTCCTAAGATATTTTTTATGAAATAGATTTAATACTTTGTAAATATCCCCATGATAGCAATAATAATTGTTTTTTATTCCTATGTCCCCCAGATGGATACTGAGCTAAAAATATAGAGCCTAATTTCAGTGTTTGTTCTGTGTTATATTTAAGTGAGGGAAAGAGTCCATCAAAAGTAAAGTCATGCTGTTTCTGAGTAGACAATCTGGTAGGTATTTTGAGTTTCCTTAGATTTATGGAGGATTAATTAGCTCATCATATCACTTCCAAAGTTCTTGCTGTGTGGCACCTGGTGTCATTCTCAACTATTAGTTCAAAAACTACAGCTGTTTCCAGTTGCAGCCATTTCTTCAAATAAACGGAGCTCATTTGGTGACATCATTGTGTAGAGTTTTTTTTCTTTCTAGCCCTGTATTTCATTTTGTGGACTTTTTATTCCATCTAACTTTTGCTTATTTTTCTAGATTTATCCAGGCTCAATAGAATTAATGCAGGTGATTGAAGATTTTATACACATTGTTGGAATGGGGATGATGGACTTTCAGAATTCATACTTAATGACTGGAAATGTAGGTAAGAAATAGGTTTTTCCCAAAATCTTTCTGAAATTTAAAAAAAAAGATTGCAAGTATATGCGCCATACATTTTCAAGTGTAATATTCTTGTCAATATCTTTAAGTATATATGAATAAATATATTGTGGATACTTACTGTCTGAGTTTTAGATACTTACTGTCTGAGTTTTAGCCCTATGTGCACTACACATACACACACACACACACACACACACACACACACACACATTTGTTTCCATCTGCATGAATTTGTGTGAATGCTATGGGCTTGTATACATCTGCACAGGTGTATG